TGTTTCCTTTCTAACTCGTCAGTGCGAGAAGGACTCGGCTGTTAATCTCTGAAACGTGAGCGAGCAGCGTCCACGTCGGCGTTAGAGGGGTTATTGTCGCCGCTCATGCCGGCGGGTGGAGCATCTACCTGCTTGCACCTGTCCTCCAGGTGGGCCTCCCCGGGCAGAGAGGCCACGGTGCCGGCTCGGCCCGACCAGTCCTCCCCTGCCCAGCTATGGAGCGTCTGGGTGGGAGCGGGACGGCAACAGAAACACACAATAACTAACCGGGACACTGAAGTGAAAGCAGCTGGGCGGCGGCGGGAGGCGGTACCTTGCGGACGTCGGAGCTCTTGGGCTCGGTGGTCCAGGTGATGATGCGGGAGACGGCCAGGCGGGTCTCGCTGGAGTTGACGAAGTCGGCCGGGTCCATGAGGCGGGCAAGAGCCTCGATGTAGCGCAGGATGGCCACCTTGACCTTGAGGTTGGGCGTCTGCGTCTGGTCCACGATGAAGCGCATCAGGATGTTGAACTGCTGCTCGTACGGGAACGACTCTCTGCAGCGGGACGCAGGAGAAGACAGACGCTGTGACGGGACATCCAGGCAGCAGGACGAACACTGGAACTGTGGAACTTCACTTTAACTTCTACCAACAGAATAACCGCTGCATCACTTCCCTTTTACTGTCACAGGTGGACATTTGAGGTCTTAAGTTTAATCTTCAAACCAAAAGTTCCTCCAAAGTTGAAGCTACCCTGAAGCACAGCTGTGAGTTCAGCCAGGTGACATTCAACCTGAAATCCGTCCTCTAGGATGCTGTGTTTGCAGCCTGACTCACTAAACCTGGAACACGAGTGCTCTCCGCTGACCTGGTGACGTCCAGGGCCTTCTGGACCTTAGCCTGGACCGAGCCCAGCAGGTCGGCGCCCATCTTCTTCAGCAGCTGGGTGAGCAGGACGAAGATCCAGTCCTGCAGGTCGTCTCTGTGCAGCACGATGAAGTCCACCAGCGTCTCCAGGAACATGCTGAACACCTGAAAACACACTCGGTCAGGGCCGGCCCAGCAGCAAAGCCACGCCACGGGTCATGAAGCGAGTCCACACTTACTCTCTGGTGTTTGTTAGCGTCCGCAGCAGCATTGAGGAGGCATGCAACAAGAAAGCACAGGTTAGTCTGCAGACCTGGACGGAGCATTCACAGGCCGTCTGCTCTGACTGTCGCCCAGTGAGTCACAAAAACCTCATTCCACGCCAGGATGGACGGCATTCACAGAACTAATGAACTGATATGAAACGGCTCTGACGTGTTCAGGCTGGTTAACGTCAACCTGCCACAGCGGAGAAACCAACCGTCATCTAACTCACACCGGACGCTGCAAACGGCTGCGTTTCATCTGAAATAATCATTTTAAAAATGATGTAATTTAGCAGTCAAATGTTACAAATAAATTAATTAGGATTTTTTTTTCTCACCTTCTTTTTTTTGTTTTGTTTTTTACAAATTTATCCAAACAGGAAAATCTGTAAATCAACCCTGACTTATTTGTCATTTTTGTCTTTCCTAATATACATAATCTTTCTTTCAAATAACATTAAATATCTGGAATACATATATATATATATTCCTTTTAAATACTGTAACATGGTGCACGTTTACAGTGAAATGCTGTAAAGGACAAATACTTTTTTCATGATGTGAATACTTGACGTGGACATTATTGATGTTGTCGTCCTGTTTTTATAGTTAACATGTAAACTACTGCTACATACTTATTTCTGTAATTTTACTGAATATTATCCATAATTTAACAAAACAGGGAAAATCTGGAAAATAACGGTCCATGAAGTTATTTATAATTTTCTAATATTTGTGTAATTTTTCTCCCAAACAAAAGGAAAGTGTCTGTAAAGTCCTGCTATTTTTTCTGGTTTAAATATGACAGACATGGAGCATGTTGACAGGACTGCAGACGGTCGCATTCTGTCCTGAATCAACCGATAAACTTGTCAGAAAGCACTGCAGTGTTGTAACCTGAGAATCCAGCAGGACTAAACAGCATCTCAGAGGTGAACACGGTGCAGCAGGGGGCGCTGTGTCAGAACCCAGAACTACAGGGAATGAAAGTGCAGCTTCCAGCTCTGCAGATGAACACGGTCGGTTAGTCCACAAACTACAACCTGAGTGAGTGAGTGGCTGCTGGACTCACCTTGCTGTGAGGGTCTGCAAACATCCTGGTGAAGATCTCGCAGAGCCTCTTCAGCTCCACGCGGCTGAGACACAAAACGTTAGCACAGTTTGGTTTGGCTTCACTGAAGTGCAAACACAATGCTTATTGACAGTCGGCTCATTTCTGCTGCGTGTTTTTACATGTGGTGTCTGTTTGTCCAGATGTTCCTCCACCTCTGATGAAGACTTCATGTGTTCTGTGGCTTCTGGCTGCTTTCATTGGTCCTAATATTTACAATAAAAGAATTATTTTCCCAGAGTACATCTCAGGAGCTGTCTACGGTTCCTCCAGCGACGTTTGGTTTGTGTACAAACACTGTGTGAAGTTTTAGAGATGCTGCAAAGAGACCTTTAGACGACACAACGGTTTCCTCAGACTCTCCTCAAGACAAAATCTGCATTCTTGTGTTTGTTTAGATATTTTTAAATATATATATATATACATATATATATTTAAACCAGCTCCATAAAAATGGTGCAGCATGACGACAGTAGATTAAATCTAAATTAATGTAGTTTAGAACCTTCCATCTCATGTCAGGTTACTTCTTGTTTTTTTTTTCTTTCCATTGTATGTATAATATTGGACTCTTTTAGTTTCTTATGATAGTTATCTAGCTTTCACAGTATTTTTTCTTTTCTTTCTTTCTTTCTTTCTTTTTTTTTTTTTAACACTTATATATCTTATTTTAAAAAAAATCTTTCTTAGATTTGGGAGTTTTTTTTGTTTTTTTTTTCCCAACTTGATGTAGATAAAACTCTGCCAGATAAGGAAAGTAAATTAGATAAAAATTAAATGGAGTTTTTTTGGTTTAGTTTAGTTTTTTTTACACTTATACATCATTTTGTTTTAAACTTTTTGGGGGAGATTTGGGATGTTTTCTTTTTGTTTTGTTTTTTTTACCAACTTGATTTAGATAAAACTGCCAGATAGGGAAAGTAAATTAAATTAAATGGAGGTTTTATTTGTTTTGCATAATACATTTATATATATATATATTAAACCTTGTGTTTCCGAGCCTCCTTTGCAGTGCTTTGTCCTGATCCTGGACAGCTGGTGCATCTCTACACTGCTCTGGAGCTCGACGTTTGTCTTGTGCGCTGCATGCAGACGCCCTGACACTCACCTGAGCGTCCTCTGGCTCCGGAGCAGGTTCTGCAGACCCAGCAGACCCTCCTTCCTCTCGGACCAGTTGGCGCTGGCGCAGTGGTTCAGCACCTCGGCCACGTCCTCCGTCTGGCGCAGGAAATGCGGCGCCATGCCTCCGTTGCGGGAGCTGTAGGAGCGCTCCGAGCAGGCGCTGGAGGCGTCGCTGTTGGCGTCGTCGTCCGAGTACATCCCCGGAGACTCGAACCGCCGCCGGGCCGGCCGCCGCTGAGCCAGGAGGAGGAGAAAGTGAGGTTCTGGATGCTTCTACAGCTACAGCACAGAAACCTAAACGTTGTGATCCAGCGTGCAGCTACAGACTCATGCAGGCCTCTGATGAACGTGATGAAAATTTGGCAGACACTCTGCACAGCTTCAGACTCAACGGATGACGTTAGAAATAACAGAAGCAGCTTTAAACTAACAGACCAACAGGCCTCCAGGTGGAATTAAGTGTTTGTTCTGTTTGAAGTGAAAGCCAGAGAGTGAAGCTTCATGCTCTGCATGCAAAGACACGACTGAGCGGAGATGTCTGTACCTTACTCCTGGAGTCTCCTAAGAGCTGCAGTTAACAAAGTCCAGAGAGAAAGAGCAAAAAGGGCGTTACTGCATCACTGTCGGGGTTTAAACCACATCAGCAGCTTGGTGTTGAAGGATAAAGCTGCTGTTACTGGTTCATCATGTCAGTCTACTCATCCTTACAGCACATAAAAAGGTCTTTGTTAACATATCGCTGAATCTTAATTATGTTGAAGCTGCTGGCGTCGACCACTTTCAGCAGGTTTTTTCACTTTTACATTTATCTGAACAACAATATCTCAGAATCAGTAAAGATAAAACCTGAAATGTTCACGCTTGTTCTCATCGTGTAATCAATTGATTGATTGATTGGCTGAATATTGGCAGAACAAGTAGATTTGTAAGTGTCTGATCTCAACTGATTTTTATTTATTGTGAATTCTGCTTCAACAGCGGCGCTCCACATCTTCTTTCATGTTTTAAATCACTGAGTTGTTCCAACAGCCTCAACATTCAACGTGCAGTTTCTATAAAGAGCATCTTGAAAAATATCGGACACATGAAGCTAAAGTTTCACAGATGGTGTTTTAAACAATAAATCAGAAACTCTCTCCCTCCCCTCTCACCAGAGCGTCAGCGACGGCGGCCTCGACCTCGGTGCCGGTGTTCAGGATCTTCATGGCGTTGACGGAGGCCGAGATCCGAGCCTGATGGGACAGCCGGTCTGAGCAGGACAAGGTGAAGCAGACGTCAGAGGAGGACACTTGAGGTGGAAGAAAAGAGCGTCTTGGTCCTGTTTGAGTGAATTCAGGAACCTCGACCAGAGTTCAAATTGGATGAGATGATTTCATAAATGATTGTTTAGGCTGGGCTTTGTTTAGAGATCCTGCTAGTTTAGAGTCCTGATTAAATGGAGGTGAGTTTGTTTGTTGGCGACCTGACTGTCGTAGACCAGACCCAACCCAAAGCAATGAGCCGTGTTCTTAAAGCAGCAGAACTACAAAGAAAATGCAAAATATACAATAAAATGTGGCGTAACTCGTTTTAGATGAGACATGTGTGCGACATCAACATGATGACGAACCAAAGGAGAAGCAAAGCTGCATCGAAACCGTGTTTTTCCTGCAAATAATAATCATGAAGCCTCCAAAGCAGCAAAATCTGGACTTGGCTGATGCTCAATGTCGCCCCCTGCAGGCGAATGAGATGTACTGGCAGCAAAGTAAGAAACAACCTCCAAGTTCTGCCGGTTTCTGCTCGGTTCTGTCTGATCCAGCATCCCTCTGGTGGCTCAGAGGAACCAGACAGCCGCTGACAGAACTTCACAGGGTTTTATCGGTGACTACGTCCAACTCTGAGCCACCTTCAGCCGTGCAGGGAGACGATCAGCCGAGCAGCCGGATGAATGGACGAGAGCCATGAGAGCATTAATGGACTTGTTCTGTTAACTGAGCAGATCCGCTTCACGGGTCACCTGAGTAGCACTCTGCAGAGGACAGGGCGCTGGTTGAACGGGAGTGACGGCGGGTCGCTGGAGGGAAAGTCAGAAGACACCAGGAGTGGATTTTATTTAAACTCTGAGTCTTTAAAAAACACATTTCTGGCTGCACTGAGTCAACACAGGGCTGGGCGATGGAACTGGACTCATGCTGAGGTTTAGGGGTGGATGATCTGATCCGGGTATCATCGAACAGGACCCCAGGGTCCGGCGGTCCTCGGACCATCTCACAAGGCCAAGCACTGACAATTATTGTTTTTGTTTTTCAAAGAAGAATTTGCCCACCTTCAGGAGACCAGGACGGAGCTGCCCCACCACGTGAAGGTGAAGTTCCAGAGCGGATGACCTGGTCTGAGTGCCACCGGACCGGACCGCACATCGGCCTCCATGCACCCTGACGCCAAGTCGGACCAGGCCTCCAGAAGTTCATTGCTTAGGTGGAGCTGATGGGGGACACGTGGTTCGACTGTATCCGACCAGACGTCAGCGTGCCGATGGAGAGGCCCGTCGGTGACACCTGCACCAGTTCAGTCGTCCAGAAACTTAATCTCAGCGTGGAGTGGGGGTCCGTCGGTCCTCGGATCAGATCTCCAGAGGTGGATCACTCAGGTGGAGGTGGTGGGAGACACGAGGTTTCAAAACCATGACCTGATACATAGCTCTGCTGTGAGGGGACATGATCCAGAGGAAGTGTGCCTGGAGGTGTTAAGGCCACCAAACGTTTGTGCTTCACTGCAGCTCTATCTGATGATTGTTCTGCTGCTGCTGATGTGGAGTCCATCAGTGTTGTTGTTTTATCGCCCAGGCCTCCGTGAGACCACCAGTAACTTCAGCCACCCTATACAAACTCCCTCTACATCAGCTCGAGTGCACAGTCTTCATGCTGCTTTAATTAGACTGTTTATTAGAAGAGACACCAGAAAGCAGCGCATGCAGAGAAACAGGCAGTGATGGAGGCAGTGCAGGCTGAGAGGAAATCTGACAGAATGCTACAACTGTGGAACAAGAAGCTCCTCAAGCATCACAGAGCCTTCAATTACATCAACATGGGGAAGACGGAGGTGTTGTTGGGGGTCTTTGGTGCCGTACTCACCCAGGGGGGAGAAGCCCCTGGCGGGGCTGGTGTCGCGGCTGCTCTCGCGACTGGTTTCGCGGCTGCAACCCTGACTCATGCTCGGTCGGGGGATTCGACTCCGGGCTGGACGGACGGACGGACGGATAGACAGACAGACACAGCAGTGCAGGAGGAGAGTTTAGCTCGTAGCACATGGAACACCTGAAGCTAGACAGTTAGCAATGCAGGAGAAGAGAGACTTGGGGAGGCGGCAGATTGGCTTTTAGTCATTAGTATGAGGTGAGATCTGCATGCAAGTCGCCTTCAGGAAGAAACAACAATGAACAGCACGTCTCACAAGTTAGATCCAAATGCTGAAGAGGAAGGAGAAGAAGTCGGGGTTTCTGATTTCCAAAACCGTATCGTCAGACACTACGATCCTAAAGATCATTTAGCAGATGGTGATTCTGCAAACTCAGACCAATGATTTCGTTTTTAGTTCTTAAATCACAACTTAAATCCAGACACAAAGCGTAGAAATGCTGCTGAATGCCCGGTTCTGTTCAGGTTATCATACAGAGGGCTTTGGCACAGCAGAGGTCAGCTGCTTTAAAGTGACTCCTTCAACACCTCGCTGCCCGTTGGATCTGAGCCGCCTCCTTCCAGTGACCTCCAGCTTTGGAGACGTAACCCTAACCCTCACCGGTGCCTGATCTGGTGGGGCTGGTCTCCCGGCTGCAGCCCTGGCTACGGTGACCCCGAGGTCGGCTCTTGTCGGACAGGCTGCTGCTGGCGGCGGCGGCGGCGGCGGTTCCCATGGTCGGTCTGGGGATCCGGCCGTAGGTGGAGCTCAGCAGTCGACCCGGAGAACCGGACCGACTGCCGGCTGAAACGCAGGAAGAAACATTTCACCTGAGTGTTTTAAAACCTTCATTCTGCTTCCATTTTGTTCACGAGAAACACTCAAACATAGAAAAGACGGTCAAGGAGAGACGACATCAAACAGCTCGGCACGTTCTGAGCAGAAAGTTTGCTTCAAATGTCTGATCAGATTTATGTGAGTTATGGAGTTTGGCCAGTTTGTGTTTCAACAACATTTAACTTTTGAAAATGAGTAAAAAATAAGCCACAGGTGGCATGTAGACACATCAGCTGTAGTGAAAGTCCAGAACATTTGGATAAGTATGGAGGTAACCATCCCATACGAGAAGCTTCATCAGACAGAAATCAAACTGCTCACGTTGAGACTGAGACACGACTTTTCCTCGGCTGCGGCCGCGACTGTCCGACGGACCGCTTCCTGCACTCGTCCTCCGGGTTCGGACTCGACCTGAAGAGGCAGAAACCAAGAAAGGAGACAGAAAAGGAGCTCAAAGTCTGCAAACAGAGGCTGCTGCTGGTTTAAAACCGCTGGCATGCAGACACAGGGAATCAAAAGAGGACAAACTGACACCGTCCTCAGACGACACCGAGCCGTTCGGTTTCCTTACAGAGAAAACACCAGCAAAAATGAATTCCTCAAGAAGGTTTTAGATCCATAACTAGGGACGCAAAGCAGACGAGGAGTGAACTTTTGAGATCTACTGTAAGAAGACATCTGTTCCCCAGTTATTTATGAGTTATTCCACCACAGGAACCTTCTGATCGACCATCTCTGATCGACTTGAACTTCATTTTCATCATAAACTATGAATATTTAAAACGCTAGTTCAGAAATTTTAGCTTCATAGATCAGTTTTAAAAATCACCCGTTGAACTTGAGGCTGTTTGAATTTAGCCTGAAGCACGGCGGCGGCAGCATCATGATGTGGAGATGAAGCTAAAGATAAGCTTGGCAGTATCACAGGTTCTGAATCCATGACATGATGAGAACAGTGACATTTTCAGGTTTGTATTTTTAATAGTTCCTGAGAAGATTAGCAACTTTACCGAGAAGTATCCTCACATCATGATGCTGCCACCGCCATGCTTCAGTCTAATATGTAAATTCAGACAGCCTCAAACGTCAATGTGAGGAACAACCTGCTGAAAGTGGGTCAATGGCATTTACCTCAAAACAGATTTGACAAATCAAGCTAAAATTTCACATATTTCTTAGTAAATAATGACATTTAATGCTAATAAAGTTTCAGGCAAATCTGAGAAGGTGGAGCAGACATTTGAGGAGGAATGACTCTTCTTGACCAACAGACCAGACGGGCATGAAGACAAAACAACGAATACAGACTCAGAAGGAGACGTCAGACCAACCACATGCAGGTTTTACGTCAGTTTAGCTTTAAAATGAGCGACTCGGTCTGCATAGGAGGGCAAAGCGCTCTCATCAAGAGTTCAGTCTGAGAATGCGCTCGTGTTCAGCTCACGTATCGGAGCCGCCTGACTTCCTGTGAACATGCTCAGACGGTCCATGCACTGACAGGTCCACCACACACGACCAACACACCACCACTGATGGAGGGAAAACACAGCGAGGAGCTTCGATCCTCCGTCCGCTCAGCTTACCGTCTGCACCGACAGACCACGAGCCGTCTGACAGGTGGGCCGCCAGGAGAGACACAACAGGTGTTTAGGGTCAACAGGTAAGCTAGCTAAGACGTGGAGGAGGTGAGGGGGCGGAAAGAGCAGGTACGACTCGGACATGGACATTATTGAACTAAAGACCTGGATATTAAAGGACTAAAGTAGTAAAAACCTGGATGTCAATGGACTAAAGTCATAAAAACCTTTAATATTAATGGACTAAAGTAATAAAAACCTGGATGT